CTCTTTGCCCCTCACATCACATCCTGTTTCCCAGTGATGATGTAAACTACAGATGCCTGGTTGGGGCAAACTGTTACAATACAACCTCCAGTCTGAAGCTAGCGATAGTTGGCTAACTGTAAACATGTCAGTCCAGTAGAGGCTTTGGTTACTGCTGATGTGACACAAAGCACTGATGTTACACAAAGCTCCAGTTCCTCCCAAATTAAAACCATATTAATTCAACACAAAGGTAAAATCCTGACCATGCTAGGTGGCTAATGCTATCAAAACAAACAGGTTAGCTTTAGGTGCTAACACATCCAGAAGGAAGAAGGCCACTGTTAACCCTCTCCATGTCAAACAGCCAAACCCATGTTAACCCTGGTTGTTGTTCTTTCTTTGTCCCACTCTCTCTGTGCAAAAGATGCCACCTCTTCACTCTGGCAGCCATTGGTTTCCTTATTCTTCTTCTTCTTCCCAACCCATCTTCCAACCTTGGCTAGGTGGCCGGCAGGGCAAATTTACAGACTGTACTTTGACAACACAGGGTGGAGAAGCTGGAATAACAACAGAAGCTGAGAGACACCGTGTCCTGTCCCACTGTGACTTGATTTACCACACAGTGTGGGAAATCTTAGTTAACACAACTTTAAGAAGAACAGAAATTCTGCTAATCAAAACACCAACCGTCAAGTATGACATCAATGAAATGGCTCATTTACAGTACACACTGTTGTTCTCCATGTTTTCAAATATAACAAGTTAGGAACCATATGGATTCTAGTAATATTCAGTGTAGTATCTCAGTGTCCTGTGATAGGACAGTGGAAAAAAAATCCAAATCCTTATTTTCTACATAAGGCTTAACATGCTGCGATATTTGTATCCACAGTCCCTGGAGTGGACAACATACACTGAGGTGTTGAGGCTGGGTTAAACACCCAAATGATCGTGGCAGGTTGATGTATGGTGTTTCTGCTCACCTTTGCTCAGCAGGATTAGATAACGCATCAGTTGGGATCTGTCATTCGAACATAAGCGCTGGGGCTCCGAGGCGATGAAAAGCAGCCCGAGAGATTTTGGTGCAATGCAGCAGTAAAATGAAGTAACTAACTTTGTGCATGGCCAGATGATGAGAAACTAACAGCCTCTGGCCATGGATGCATCTAAATAACAGGCTGACTTGCAAAGTCTCACATCCTGCAGCTTCAGACCAACAAATCAAATCTAATGATTTTTACATCCTACAGTAAAACTGCTGATGAAATGTGAAGGCACAAGTGAACAGTTTTAAAAGTTGATGGGTGCTACTTGGTGGTTTGAATGTGCAGGTTCACTCATTGCTTCCGTGCTCCTATTTTTAAAATTCAATTACCGCAAAAGGGCATTCAGTACTCAAGATATGAGACTTTATACATCACAAAGAGGGAAAGGAAATAAGCTTGTTTGCTCTCTTAACAAGAGTTGGATGAAACAAACTGTATGGTGCTAAAAGGACAGTGTAACATGGGGCGCTCATTCACAGTAACACTCACTTTTTATGAAGTCACAACAAAGCTGATTGCCTGTTTAAAGCTGTATTTTTTTATACTGCTAAAAATAGTCTCAACAGTGCATATTACAGGACTAGACATCTTGTATGAATACCTCAACACGCTCTTCTTTGCAAAATTCCCCAAACTACTTTTCAGCAACACAGCTCCTCCAGCCGAGTGCCTGATGTCTGAGACTAAAAGGTCAAACTCTGTGATCAACCTCATGATATGCACTGAGAGTTTCTGGACCCAGTGTCCAACAAGAAAATAGCCAAGCAACTCACTGCACTGCAATGCTGAGAGAACTTTTTATAATGGAAGGAAAATGAATAATGGTGCATAACAGGCAGCCAGGTCTGTGTATAACCCCTGGTCTCAATTCACCTCCTCCACTCTGATTTGTCATCTCCCCCCCTTTATGACTGTCAGTCTTTCTCTTTTTCTTCCTTCTGCTCTCTCCGTTCTCTCATCTGTCGTCCGAGCGCACCAAGAATTTCAAAGTCATCATCTTGATGCAGAATATGAAAGATATCCCTCCTCTGTTGACATTTCATTATTCATGATAGGCTAACTGTTCTTCTCCCTATGTAAATTATCATTACTACTGACATTTAGAAGTCTTTCAGTGCAGTTTGAGCTTCAGAGATAATTCTTTAAAGTTTTCACACACCACATACTGCTGATGTAAAGAAGCATACAAAAAGTTACCGCATTTCAACCCACAACCTTGGCCTATCCTCCATATACAGAGAAGCTAATATTGCTTATGGCTGCTTTTATTTCCTGTCTGATGGTAACTCTCCTTGCCTTCTGCTGTGATGCTGTGATTGGGGTTGTTATAACAGCACCCTTATGATGTGATTTTAGCAATCAGCAAAATTCCTGTGAGCTCTGAATCAGCAGTCCACCCAGAGACAGAAATGATTTCCTTGCAGTCATGCTGTCATGGCCCACTGATGCCATCCAGCTACATTCATTAATCACTCACAGAAACACACACACGGAAAAACACGCACACATACATGAATGCATGCAAACACACATCTACGCCGCAGGTGCATACTCCTCCTGGCAGACATAGTCTAATGTGCAGGGTGAAATGCAAAAAAACAGACATTGTTGCATTGCAAAAACCTTTCTCTGAACAAAAGGGAACCATGTGTTTTTGATTTGGGGAATAGAAGAGCATGTACATGCATGCCACATTCTGGTTGACGATATGGAAATGTCGGTGGTGCGTGCAGAGCCCTACAGCCTTTCTGCGGTGCCCACAGATGGCTGCAGTGAGCTTTTGCTAATGTACATTATGTGAACAAAGCCATACGCTAAGTTTTGCAGATGCTACACACAGGTGATTCAGGTTGTGATAGAAATAACGTGGGACTTCCCATGTAGTCATACAGCAGACATACGGTAAATATCCAACAGGAGCTCTGTTCTAATGGGGACATTTCATCAGCTTTAGGGCTAAACTTTAATTAAAGAGCTCTGGGAGAACAAGAATGACATTGACCTGAGTTAGTAATCTTAATATCTATACCTGGAAATAGCAGGCTCATGTAACCTAACACAAAAGAGAACCAAGTCTAAAAAAGCTGCAGCAGATGATTATCTTCTCCTTTCTGTCTTGGAATTTTTCTTATTTCCCTTCATTTAACAACTTTTCTGGTATTTGGAATTTATAAACTGCACTTTGCCAGCAATAACAGTCGGTATGTAGTTCAGCAAATGCCAGTGACAGTGAATTTACCTACTTAGTACAGTATAACTATAACTTTACAGCTGTGCGACAAAACCAGTCATTTGAATGAGGCCAGTCTGATGCTGCAGCACAAAAAAACGTATGACCTCATCAAGTAAGACGCTGCTATCAAATACATGCATGCGCACAGTCCCGATACATGGCTTTGTAATACTGGAACAAAAGACAAAACGATTGTTAGATTATTCAAAGGTTTTGAAGTCCTTCCTCAAAGTACTGTAAGGGTTACTAGCCAAAGCAGTGTCCAATCTGTGACCCATGCTATCATATCAGGGCAATGGACATGCATACTGAAGCAAATACAATGACGCAAAATAAGGCTTAGGCATTTTTATAGCTATGTTGAAACGTCTCATAATCTGTGGAAAAGCATTTTGACGAGATGACTGCAGACTTCAGTGAGAGCAGAGCAACGCTGTGATAAAACCAATGCTGACACAGGACACACAAGACAAGAGGCCACAGATGGAGATTTCAGGGCAAAACACAGAGAGTGACAGCTTTTTACAAATAACTCAAGTGAATTTCTTTGATGAAAACCCAAACATCTAAAAATAAACTTTTGAAAGGAAGTGGAAACATGCACTCTTCTTTCCCAGAGGAGGAAACAAGCACTTGAAATGTGCAGCCTAAAGAGGCTGCTGAAGTTTCACGCCTGCCACAGGAGCAGTGGACAGGAGGTTTAGATACACACTAGATTACACAGCAGCATCAAGTCTAACGGCTCAGACATCTGGGCACAAACGAAAGGCAGAAACACATAAATTCATAGATCCACAAATGCACAGCTGTACGGGAAGCTACCCAACAACACAGTACTGTATCTGGGTTCTCCCCCTGATGTGCACACACACACACACACACACACACACACACACACACACACACACAGCTGCCTGTCAGGGTTTACTGACTGCTGGAGCTTGGCCAACTGCTGCAGGCGTCCCCATGTGGCTGCCCAAGTCGTGATGTGATAGAAACTCTGTGTGTGTGTGTGTGTGTGTGTGTGCTGATAAATGTAGAAATGTGTCACGATTCGGTTCCGCTGTTTCCTGTCAAGCTTTTATTTTGATTCTACTTCCTGTTTTGTTTCACTATAGCTTAGGTCTTTTTTACTTTCTTCCTTACTCAGATTAGTTTCACCTGCTCCTTATTACCTGCACCTGTGTTCACCTCTATTTAGGCAGCACGAGTAAAAAACCTTCAGCAAAATCAGTTTGTCTGGTTTTATAATTGAGTTCACCACAAACACCATTTGGCGTTCTTACAAGAGAAAAGTGTGATTATTTATTTATGCAGTTGCATAGTTGAATGGCTTAATTATGTCAAGCTCTGTGCTCTTTCCAGGCTAGTGATTGCCTGGCACACTGCATCCTGACTTTCTGCCCTGGACCTCATCGGGACATGTGGCGCAGACTCATACAAGCCAAAGCCTCTGTTGTGTTTAGTTTTCTCTCAGATAGCCTACAGATGAAGCTGAGGGCGCTGAACAGATGCGTGCATTGTCATCTGCTGAGCTAAAGCAAACAGTGAGGTAGCCTATAGTATACTGCACAGGCCTAAGGCAAACAGAGTGGCTGATAAATATCTATCCAGACTGAACCTTTATTCAGTCAGAGAGCCGCCTTGAAGCAAACACCTGCCTGGTCAGAATTTGTTCATGTTTGATCCAATCAAACTTCCCATTCAACCTCCCGAGGCAGCAAAACTCATCTGTCACTTTCCTCCTCTTTGTTCCACTTGCAGCGTTTACTGCAGCCTCCACAGCGGCTCTAAGGGCTGAGCACAACCCACAGACCGCGGAGGGGGAAGAAACATCAGTCACGAGGGCTCTTTTAACGCAAGGGACGTCCCATAATTAGATTTAGGGCTGTCCTGCTGCCCAGACTCAGTCCTCCCTGCGACGCGGTGGCTGTGCAGTCATGGCTGTCCCCACGCTGCATCTGTCCTCCCCCTGCGCCGCTCACTGCAGAGTCTGCCTGGTGCACGGGGAAGCTGGGGGTTGCCTCCGTCGTGTGTGTATCTTTCCACGACCACTGATCACGTCAGGATGGTAACACCCCCACCTCAGCAGATCCCCGTAAGAGGCGAAAAGTAACACAATCTCCGGTTAAATAACGCGCAAGGTCCCGTTTTGCTAAAACGTTGCTAAAATAATAAATGGATATTAATTAGACATATGTCTTAGAATAAGATTTGATTAAAAAAGCATGAAGGCAATTTTTGATCAAATACAGTTTGTGTCGTATTAATGTGTTATTCCAGTCACACTCTGTGATGCTCATGTTGGACAACTCTTAAAAAGTTGCACAACTTTTCCGTCACGCACTGGGGGTTTATTCATCATTTCATTGCCACTACAAAAAGTATTTTAATAACCAGCTCTACCCGGCACCTCCCGTTTCCATTTTGCATATTAAATGATCCAAGAGGGCGGATAATGATACGATCTATGTTAGAGCAGCTGAGTCCACAGGAAGATGAAGTTGCAGTTTGGTATTTAAAAAGAAAAGATACTCACAATGTAAAGAGACGCATCGCACCGAGCTTTCTGAGTCTTTAGTGTCCGCTCCCCGACTTCCTATCGGCACAGCAGCAGAGGTAGTACAGTAGGTATCGTGGCGAGATTTCTTGTTTCTTGACGATGAAACGGCTTCTCTGCTGCAGTTCCAGAAAGACGAGAGGCTGGGAGGCTGAGAGGAGGTGGGAAGCGTGAGTGTGGTGGTGGTGGTGGTGAAGGGGGGGCGAGGACAAGCGGGAGGGGGGGAGCTGGAGTAATAGGCAGACTCAAATCAATGACTGGCCTGGATGTTGGATGGCTGGAGAGATGAAACAGTAGGCCAGCGCTGAGTTTGAGTCTGATTCTGGGATGACACACCTCCTTCTGCTCCTGAAGTGCTTTTATAAATACATCAGCAGTGTCATGCTACAACTAAGTCAACAACTTTACACAACTTGTCTTTAAATATATTGAAATGGCTTTTAGTTGTTGTACCTCAATATAGTTTTCATGTAATAATAAAAACTATTTCAATAAATAAACAAAAAGCTTGTGTGTCTGCTGCTAAAAATATCAAACCTACCCTGTTATCCCATACAAACACATGGGTCACTAGAGTAGAGTAAATCTTTAATATCCCGAAAGGGGCCATTTGGCTTGCAGACAGCAGTCAATAAAATATGAGGCACAGTAAAAGTACAGCAACTACATATACAGCACACCAAAAACCTTAAAGCCAGGGAGCACCAGTCCAAGCAGACACAAAAAGCCACTAGCCGATGGGATAAAAGACCACCGATATCTATTGGCATCCCCTCTTACATAACAAACCCTCCTCCCCTCACTAGGGGCTGCTGGGGAGAAGGTGGCCTGTACCTTCTGTGTGACTCTGGCCTGACACAGGCGAATACACCGGTGATCTTCCAGCTAACTGTTGTTCTTTGTACTAAGATTGTCAGAGCAGCAAATCATAGCAAATATCAGTGTATGTGTATGGATGTGTGTCTCTTTGCACATCTGCACCCAGTGTCTTTGCATTTGTACCGACTGAGGGGTGTCAGTCGGCACCATATGACTCCCAGCAGACGCTACAGGAGTTCAATGCAGACGTCTGGGCAGAGAGAGTGAGCATTCCCCCAAAACCCATCCCATTCTGCATGGCTAGAGAAGGGCTATTATGGACTCCAGTGAATGAGCACTCCTCTCCCCCGCTCTCAGAAATAACCATTACGGGAGAAATCTCAAGGAGCGAGGGAGGAAGCCTGGAAGGACGTCCCTCTCACTCAGTCATATAAAAATTTGCATTTCTATCCAGCAGCTGTTGTTTAATTTGAGGGCTGATATGAATAAAACCAAACACACATTATTCATACCAGGACGTGCCTGCACGCACACATGCACAAAACAAAAGTATCCAACTGCCATTAATTGGCTCCTGCGTTTAACATAACCTGAGCTTTGCTCTTGGTGTCAGAAATTATGACGTGGCCATGCAAACAGATAAATCCTCAGCCACCTGTGATGTCTCTCTGTCTATTCTTCCTTTTCCTTTTCACAGACCTTCACCCAGAGCCTTTGATCAATCTAAAATATGCACATATTCAAGATGCAACTAGGTGAGTGGGTGGACAGAATAATTCTGGAGAGAAGCAGCCAGGGTTGTTCTGTGTGCTCCAGTAAAACAAAACCTCACTGTGAAGGCTGATCGTGTAGTGGAGAGGGCCGTGGAACCGTTGCTTCCACTAGGAGTAAAACTGGTTTGGTAGACATGGTCACAAAAAGTCATTGTAATCCCAACAACCACACCTTCCTCCACTGGTTTACAACCACATCCTTCTGTGTGCTTAAACATCTGCTGTGATTACCTGGGGTATTAAAGGGGCATCGACTCCACAAATGAAGATCAGTTTCTGTGTCTTAAAGAGTTCAACGTAGCCTGTGAAAACTGTTGTACTGTATAATGTCTTCTGTGGCTCCGAAGGAAACTAGATTTTGAGAGGATAAATATTTGGGGCCACCAAGTATTTAAAAGATGGGCTGTTTTACAGAGTGAGGAATGGAGTTTATGCGATGTGGGCTTTTAGCAGGCAGGTAAGGTCTAACAAAAATGTAACTGTCAGGCAATCCTCCAGAACCACAGGCTATGTTCAACCACAGCAGAAACAACACTGCTTACACATAATGGACAGTATTATATTTCACAAGTGATTGTTGTGTGCATAGTGCAGGCACGTTTGCAAATCCTGCAGGGCACTTTCACATGCATGGGTTCCAAGCAAGGCTTTTTTTGATAAGATGAGATGAGATGAGATAAGATAAGATAAAGCTACAGCAGCAAAAGGATGAAAACAGGGCGCTCGGTGTTAACATTAGAAAAGTAACAGACAAGGTATTATCAATATAAACAATATACTGTAAGTATGATCATCAAAAGTAAAACAATATTGCACACTGTTATGCTGAGTATTTACAGTTTTTACAGTCTGTAGGTGTGTGAGGTCAGCTGGGGGTTGGGGGTCTAATGGGAGCGGTGCTGATCGTACAGCCTGACAGCAGCAGGAAAGAAGGGCCTGTGATAAAGCTCCGTCACGTAGTTGGGTGAAGCACTTTGTCACTGACACAGCTGCCCAGTGTTGTCAGTCTGGGGTGGGAGAAACATGACACAATTAATTGTTGTCAGTCTCATGCATGGGGTGGGAGAAACATGACACAATTAAGATAAGAAGAAATTATTTCATGTTGCAGCTTGCACGTTGCAGATTTGGTGAAACGAGCTCCAGAACCATCCAGTACCGGCAGAACCTCTAGGGACGCCGGGCTGCTGAAGGAAGTCGCAGCTGCTCAGTGGCCAGCAGGTCAGACGGGTTGTACTGGCCAGCTTCCAGGTGTGGGAATGTGAACAGAGGTGACCTCTCAGTGGACCTAACATATCTAAATCAAGTTTTAAACGATGCATTATGAAAACTGTAGGACCCAACATCTTTGCTCCATAACTGCCTAGTGATTTGGTGAATTACTGTAAACATACTCAGTGCCATGTTACAAAATCTCACTCATAAAGGGACTAATACAGTACATGCACACCGCGGCCCTCACGTCCTGTTATTTCTGTGTCCATACTTAACAATAAACTTGACTTTTTTTTTTTCAATCGTTTCCAAACCTCTCATTATTACAGCCTCTGGGGAGTACACTTAGATAATATGCTGCAAAATTGTTTTTGAGCAGTTTAGTTGGATGTGTGATATGGAGTTTAATTGATTTCTAATTATACACCCTGGTGGGCACGTAATTTCATGCGTAAAAAACAAAGGGGTTGTTAGCAAGGTCTGCATTAGGATGCACTGCTTTGTTTTCCCTGTAATTATACACCCCACTCATCTTCCTGCTCAGACTTTCACACACACAACTTTGAAAGATATATTTTGAAAGGTACTGCAGGTAGTTACTTGTTTTTGACATACAGTAAGAACAAGACTGACTCATACAAGCTAAGGGACAAATCCTATTCCAGGTAGGATTTAACATAAGTGAACTTTATTAAAATGACTAACTAATCAGATCATTTTAACCCTGCACGTGCACATATACAATTATAACTGCTTATTCAGCCTGACTCACTACAATGAACTCATCTCTGGCTTCTCACACAAAGCTACATAAAATAGCTTGTGATACTGTCCAGTGGTGCTAAGTAACAAGACAAATAGCCTTAGGAATAGCAGGTTAAAGCAAGGTTAATTACATTTCTTAACACACAGGGGTGAGGGGTTGCAGAGAGAAAGGAGACTGCAGAAGGGGAATCAGCTGATAGGTGTGACAATGTTCACAGAGACAGAAAGAGTAACTTAAATTAATTGTTATCTTTATGTTGTTGGATGCCACCTGGTTTTATTCTATGCGTGAAAAGAAATTTGCAGCCTCTTGCTAATAAAAGCAGTCCACGGTGGCTCTACTTAAAATGCAGGCCTTGATGTATCAGCTGTGTGATCCTCACAACAGCAGCCTCAGTGTGCTTCTATATAACACTTCAGTATGACTCTGCTTATTTTTATGACTATGAATGAGACGGAGATACACCGCAGTGGTCAGTGGCCACACCTGATCCGCACCGACCATAACCAGGATGAAATAAATACAGCGACTGAGCTGGTGGAAGTGTTGTTTTTGATGTCAGTGTATTTTCTCTAACCTGCTGAGTTCCCTGACAACAGCCTGATGCACCTTCACCCTGTGTTCTTTAATGTGTCATGTCTCCAAACCCACTGAAAGCAGATGTTTTTGTCTGCAAACCTTCTGCAGATGCCATGCCATTTTGCTCCTTAGAGAAATAATAACGAAAACTCTTATTTAGGAGCATGAGAGTTTGAGATTTTGATCTTTTGTTGCTTAAATAACAATCTGATTTAAAGCCCCAATACGAAGGAATTGATACATCTGCTGTTTGGCCGAGTGTAATTCACTTTTTCACCGCTGTCATGCTCTAAATACCAGTTGTGCTTTGAGTCCTCCTCATGGAGAGACGTACATGTGCATTTGTTTACAAGTTGAAGCTGAACCGGGAAAGAAAACATTAGAAGCCAAAGAATGATAAAGTAACATTACAGGATTTTATACAAATCTGGCTCTGCATAGTTTTATTTATTGTGACATCAAACCTGGACACATAAAAAACAAATAAGTATGGCAATTTGAAGTTTTACTGAAGTTCTGTCTACGTTTTTAACCCAAATAGAGAGTTGGTGGAGTTATTTTCCTGTTAGCAGATTATAGAGAGTTTGTTAAGATAGTTTGTATATGGATGTGTACAATGGAATGAAAGGTGTTAGCAACATGATGCGGGTTCACACTGAGCAGTGTTATTTGTTACAAGCTAGCTGAGATACGTTTGTTAGGCTGCACTTCAAGGGCTTATTTGACGTGACAGTGACTGACTTTTTACATCTAGAAAAAGTCTCTGTGAGACGGGATGACATCGACAGGGTTACAGCCTACGCTGAAATATTTCATAAACAACATTAGCAGCGATGCACACTCTGCTGTGGTGGAGTTATTTTCCTGTTAGCAGATGTTTCCTACAGCTAACATCAGGACAGTATTAACAGTTAGAAACCCTGCACAAGTATAATTCATCCACTGCTACTGATGTATAAGGTTTGCATTGTTTTATCTCAGATGCAGTTCTGTAAAGAGTTTGACGCAGTTCTCACAAGAGGTCTCTGGGACGCGATTCCAAAGTTACCCAGTGCAATACCAGATGATGTAGGC